CCGCAGGCTGGGGGTGGCTGATCCCACAAAATCAACCGGAGACGCTGTTTAACGGAGCTGTTAGCCCATTTCCTGGGAACCCACCACAGCCCCAGGGAGCAGGAGCAGATCCACTGCAATAAAACCCTTTTCCAACACTCTCTTAATGCCACATGCAATAAGTATCATTTTCTAAGAGGAAAATCTGTTTGTCCAGGATTACATGCCATGGAAAATGGTTATACAGCTGTGTAGGACAGATTTTCCCAAGTGGATGTGTGGGTGCAGGTCCTAAGACACAGTCCTGGGGGCTCTGCAGCACCACCAGGAATCACTCAGGGATTGCTGGATCCAGACACTGGGACACTGCAGAGCTGCTCCCTGTCCTCTGCTTTTCCTGGGAAAGGGAAAAAATAACCATGGAGCATCAAGGGTCCTGCAGGTTTCTGAGCTGTGTTGTGATTGATATCATGACATGGAGCCCTCAGTGATTTATGCAGCTGGTGCTGAGCTGGCATTGCACACTGCTCCCTCCCAGATCGCCCTCACTGTGGATCCAGAGAAGTGGAAAAGCTACATTGGCTGTCAGAGCAAAAAAGGGAACAGCCTGGCAAAGGCCCAGTGGGACCACAGAATCAATCAGGTTGGAAAAGACCTCTGAGATCAGCAAGTCCAACCTACAACCTAATACCAGCACGTCAACTAGACCATGGCACTGAATGCCATGTCCTGTCTCTCCTTAAACACCTCCAGGGGTGGTGACTCCACCACTTCCTGGGCAGCACATTCCAGTGTCTAAGCTGGATGTGTCACCATGGGATAGTGACACTGCCACTACTGTCACTGAGCTGTGGGTGACACTGGAGGGACTGGGGAGGAGTCACCCCTCAAGGCTGCCCTGGCAGGGGCTCTCCCAGGAAAATCATCCACAACCTCCACACCCACAACCCACACAGTTTCCCATCACATCACTTGAGCTGGTGTTGAAATAATTCGAGCATTATCCATGATTTAAGCATGACTGTAGGCAAACACCCTGGTCTCCCAAACCTCTCTGCCTGTGGCTCCGAACCAGCTCCCAGAACAGCAGCACAGGGAGGTTTGCTGCTCTCTCCAGTGAGGGTGTAACCAAATTTTGGCAAGGTGAGGCAGAGGATGGGTATCCAGCTTGGATGTGGTGGCTTCGGCACTGCTGGTTCCCACCACAGCCAGCATGGCCGCTGGAGCTCAGGGATGAGCTGGGACAGAGCCCCCCTCTGAGCTGGCAGAGATAGGAGTTCTCCAGAGCTCCCACGGTGCCCCAGGGGCTGGGCAGGGCCTGACTCTGGCAAAGCCTCATGCAGGCACTGCCGGGAACTTGCTGGAGTTTAATGGAAGTGCCACCAAAACACTCTCCCCAAGGAGATGGGACAAAAAGCCAATGGGGATGAACAGGGTGAGGGAGCAAAGAGGTCGAGGACCAGCACCTCCCTCACCTCCAGTTTTCCATGCCTCACACCCTCTCCTAGCTCAGAGCAGGCAGCACCACCCCCTCCCCAGACACCCTGGAGCTCAGTCCAGGAGGATCCCAACCCCCTTTCCAAAAGCCCTTCTTTCTGCCCCAAAAGCTGCTGTTCCATCTGGTGGCTCCGTGGATAAGGTGCAGAGGGAGGTGGCTGTCACACATGTGACCCTCTCTGCCCTGGTCCGTGGTGGTTTCCCCCTCACAGCCATGGCAGCAGAAGCTGTTGGGTTTTACATCCCCTGCCAGCGGGTCCAGCTGGGACCAGTGCCCTCCCACGAGGTCCCTGTCCCCCGGTGACACTCACACCCTGCAGCACCAGGCTGAGGGCACAGAGCAGCAGCCAACGGGGAAGAGAAAGCACAACTTCCTCCCTTTTTCTTCTGAACCAGGGACCTGAGCCCTGAGCGAAAGGAAGTGCTGAAATCACACATCCTGTAGATAAAACAGATATTCCATCAGCTCCAAACCCTTGGGAAGGGCTGCTCCTCCCTGCACCCCACCCCGCCAAGCAGGGTACAGGGTGGACACCATCCCTAGTGCTCTGTCACCCCCACCACCAGGATTTCAGGACCTCCTCACGGCACTCCATGGGACACCACTTTTGGAAGCCACGTTGGTGTGAACACTCCTGTAAATCCCTTCCTGCAGGCCACTGGGTAATTAAGGAGCTGTTTCCATAACAAGGTAACAGCCAACACGTGTGGTTTGACAAATTACAGCCTCACTTTGCCGCACGTTTGCTAATCGTCGCTGCCGCGCTCGGCAAGCCTGGACAGTGCTTCGTGGCAAGTTTGCAGGGAATGCTGTTCCCAGAGATAAAGGCTCCTTCCACCACATGCAAGTGAGGATTCCTTTCAAATCAAACCTCAAAGCATCACTGTGCTACAAGAGTGTGGTGAGAAACACTGAGAGCCACAGCGAAGCTGCTGGGAACAGAACAACCTGAAGGTGTCCAATGTGAACACTTTGGATCTTTACACTGGAAAAACACAGGTGGAAACAAAGGGAAGAACAATTTTTCACAAACTCGTTGTGTCTTCACTGTTAGGGTAGTCAGGGATCAGAATGTTGCCCAGGAAGGTGGTGGAGTCACCATCCCTGGAGGTGTTTAGGGAGAGACTGGATGTGGCCTTAGTGCCATGGTCTAGTTGCCATGGTGGTGTTAGGTCACAGGTTGGACTTGATGATCTCAGAGGTCTTTACCACCCTGATGGATTCTGTGGTCCTACTGGGGCTTTGCTGGTCTGCTCACTCTTTGCTGTGAGCAGGCACTGGATCTGGCACTGGTGATATGGTTTAGTGGTTACAGAGGTGGATGGCTGGCCTTGATCTAAAAGGTCTCTTCCAGTCTTGATGGTTCTATGGTTCTATCTGGGCAGGAACCACCACCAGGACATGAGATTCCCAGGGCCTCTGCAATGCCAGAATGTCATGGAAACCACATGAAGGAACAACCCACCATCCCAGATCCATCTCAGGTGCAAAGGTTTTATTGACTGGATGGCTGAGCTGCCCACAGAGTTTTTCCCTCATGGAGACTTCAATGCAGTGTCCTTGGATCTGCTTGGTGAGCACCTGGCTTCAACTCACAGGTGCTGCTCAGCAGGTACCACACACCCTGAGCTGCTCCAGGTGAGCTCCAGTTCCATTTCCTGCCACC